TTTATTCAAACTTTCCCCAAAGACGTGTTTTAATGAATATGATGAGGATTACAACAAGTAGATCTAATAAATAGTCGTACAAGATATAATATAGGAGATGCTCTCGAAATCCAATACTTCTGGCTTTTCTACAAAAACACAAGAAATGTAAAGAAAATGGGGTTTTGATATCTATGACAATGCATAATCAGAAAGCTGTAGGTAATAGAATCTTCATTCCAGAGTACTCCACTTTTCGAGTTTCACTATGTCAACCGACACATATAAGATGCTGTGACGCCTCGGCTGGTTCCGTACCATGCTTCTGATCGAACCCAACTGAGACAAGTTGAGAGTGACACGCTAACTTAGGATTAAGGCAACTTTGTATATAATATGTCACTTCGTAAACATGGCCAGAAAATCCGGACATTTGAGCCCGMAATCGCAGCGGTACTTCGCATAAATGCATAAAAACATGTTTGTAAATTTTACAAAGAAATGTATGGATCAAAGAAAATATTTGAGAATAACATTTCATCTGTTTTAACTGGAAAGATTCCATAMATGAATTCGTAGAGGGAAACTATYCTTGATTCCACTGTAGGAAATCCAAATAAATCCAATATTGTTAACAGCGTCCTTTTTGACAATTTATTTTCCTTTCGTCGTCTCCCTTTGGCCTTGTATCTCATGGTGAAAATTCGCGAAGAAGCGAAATTTCACCTTRGCTGATCGTGTTCCTTTACATGTCACTAATATTCCATAGATCATTTCTCAAAKTCCACATATTGAGATAGGAACACAGCGATTTTCAGCTATTTTGAAGACGATCAACAGCGTCCTTTTTGGTACTAGAAATCGTACAATTTGAAAACACTAACTTGACGCTGAAATGGCTGCCGAAGACGCGTGTTTCACGCGAATACTTGGCCTGATCTTCCATTTTATTATCCATGTTTGGTACCAAAATAAACCTTAGAAACATGGCTTTCAGACTGGAACTGCTTTAATTTTGGAGGTTTTTACTGGCGCCTTGCGCGCACTGGTAAATAGCGCAGATAGCGGGAAATGCGAACGAAAGATAGGCCAATCAAGTCTTGTGTAAACAATGTCAGACTTTTTAAATTCCTTAGAAATGTACAAGTATAAACAAAAGATCACAATATCAACTGATCATTGTTTAAAAAACCCTGAGCCAAACGTATGTTCCCTGAGGAAAAAGTGTGTTCCAGCAAATAATATTATTTACACTATGAACATTCCAAACGAGCACCTCACAAGCCACTAATGAACTCAAGGATCAGGGCGTGCTATCCCAATACTCGTTTGTCGTGTTTTGAACGTTTCGATTTTAGCCCAGTATTGTATTAAGATAAAGGATCGTTGCACAAGAGTAGAAAATTTTATCTTCACAAAAAGTTCAAACCTCAAGGGAACTTGTAGAAAGCTCTATTTTGGTGGGAAAACCCGCTGACTCGTCCCGGGCTCAAATGTCTGGAATTTCTGGCCATGATAAGGGATCTACAAGTACAAAATGAATACTTTTTACATCGGAGATTGCGTGAGCAATTGAAGAGTTATTGGTGGGGGACGATTTGTCACTCAAAAAAATTCGAGTGTTTCAAGTATCAGAACTTGTATATGTATTAGCCGTTAACTGGACATAACTCCTCAAAGACAAATCTAAGTACAAAAGACTTCTGGATATTCATTACCGCTGCTGTCTATTTAAGAAAAGTGCTTATTAGCTTGGGAAAACTATTCCTTGGCGACTGATTTGAKTAAAAAGGGCTAAGCAGTAAAAGTAGAAGCATTGCTAACGATAATTGGATAGAAAGGACGAGAAGTGCATTCAACATTCATTCGACAGAAGGGCAAAAGCTGGTCTTTAAAGAAATCAAAGGATTACTAGCTGTCAGATAAGAAAAAATGTGCCATTTGGAAAATATCGTTCAATGGACAAATTCAAGAATCTACAGAGTCATATGACCAGTATAAAACGGCTCTTCGTTCTCTAACTGTAGCTACCAATACGCAGGAAGCAGTGAATCCTGTTCAGCGTGGGGGAAAACGTGCCGAAGGTGTTAAATAAAAAAACATTTTGCCGCTAAATGTAGACAAGAGGTCGACTTTATTGAGGTTTAAGAAGACGGCCAATCTGGYCCGGAAATGTATCAAACCTACGAAATATCAGCCGTCAAGTGTAAAATGGGCCTTTGGCTGTGTTSAGGTACTCCAATACGACTCCAGGTTAGGCACACAACAGAGGTTTACTTGACAAAAGGTCCTTATAACAAGTAGTTAACAAAACTCTCTGTAGACTGCACCCCCGAGCTAGGAAAGCTACAGCTGCGGTTATCCCCCTAGCCTGCGTTACATCCGGAATATTCTTCGATATATCCCGGYATTTAGGAAATTTCCGGGATGTAACGCAGGCTATTATCCCCCCACCTCTGCTTCAAAGTTGGTTCTAATCTTGTCTGCCTGTGCTTCTTTGTGAGAATCCCAACTTTGAAACAGGGGAGCGGGGGTGCTCAAAAACATTTTGTCGAGAGCTGTCTGGGGTGGTAACGCTAATGCATATGACGTCATTAGGCCATTGAGACGTGTGCTGTTGATTTCGTAATATGATTTCTGTTGTAAAACACTCTTTTACCAAACAGGGAAATATAAAAACATTTTGTCGAGAGCTGTAGCTCTTTTATACTAGATAATATAAATACGTCAGAATACGTAAGATTACATTTACATAACTGGGGCGTATTTTCCACAAGTCATAATATCAAGATTACGACCTTAGATCAACGACTGATCTTCACAAGTGCGACCCGATGCAACAGTTCAGCCGGTTCAACATGCTCAGCGTCGAGTTGCCGCTCACTTGAAACCGAGACTGAATAAAACGCTATATATGACTTACTCCATCAGGATGTCATTACGGCAGGTGACTACGCCCACAGAATAGATAAGTTCCATCGTTATTCGAAGAAGAATGGGACGCTACGTATTTGGCTTGATCCCAAATATATCTACCAGTCCATATTGTGTAAAAGTTGCCTGTTACCTACAAGGATATCCCCACACGTATTTACCCCATTGGACGTTAAAAATGTATTTCGGCATGTGAAATTGGAATAATTCCATTTTTACTTATAGTTCTCAATCTGCAGTTTCTGTAAGAGTGGAATATCTGGCACATGATTTAATTACTCGGGGTTCCTGTGGAACCCAGAGTTTAAATTTCGGGCTTCTTATTCTTTGTCGTCGCTTATCAGTCACAAATTGTCCACAGGTAGCCCAAGCTCATAATCACGTGTTATTCTAAAAATGCTATTTAGAGACCAAATTAGCGAAATATTATTATTGTCC